GAGATTCAGCATGACAGCTTGCAAGCCTGTGTACACACCTATGGAGCCTGGCCTGAAACTCACATCTGAAATGTCACCCAAAACAGATGAGGAGAAGGAGGCCATGCGCTCTGTACCGTATATCAATGTGGTGGGAGCCCTGATGTATCTAGCTACAAGCACCAGGCCGGATATAGCCTATTCTGTTTCTGTACTAAGCAGATACAACTCTAATCCTGACCCTGAGCACTGGAAAGCGGTCAAATGCCTGTTCCGATATCTCAAAGGCAATCTGGACTACTGCCTGACGTATGCACCAATAGAGTCTCCAGAAACCTTTGTGGCATACTCTGTGTTAAAGTCATGCAGAACGAAAAGAGTGACCTGACCAGGATTCAAACCCAGGACCTCCAGCTTATATGACTAGTGCTCTAACCACTAAGCCATCAGGCCTTAGCTGCTATACAGACTAAGGCTGCCGAGTCTTACAAGCTCATTACCTGACCGACTCATGACCTGGTTCAGTGTGAGTCCGCCGGTGCAACTTCTGTGACATGTGACTAAGCAAGTCCAACAGTTTTCCCCTTTCCAAGTCGAGTTCTTGTGAGTCTAACATAATGATGTCAAGTGGCTAACCTCACCATTGGCTCAGTGACATGCTGTCCATCACACACTTAACAAAGAGTGGGTGTAGAAAGTGTAGTCTTGAGCGAATCTAGTAGCTTGTCTACCTGTAGTCAATATATCACACAAAACTGCCTCAGTAGTATCTCTTGGACTGCAAAAGATGGAAGGAACCTCAACTAAAGCTAGGTATATGGAAATTAGTCATGAGGAATCCATTCCTCAAGCCATGAAATTGCCGGAACTCCTGCAAGGGGAAAAGAAACATCTGAACTTGATAAAGCATTAGAGTACCTGCTCAACAATGGGATACTCTCTGCCAGCGCGCCTCACTCCATTGACACTCTCAGAAACGGTTTAACTACTCTCGTGCAATTCACAAGCAACAAAAAGACAATGGATAGGGCCAAGTTGATGTTTTTGATAACAAGAGTTTGCAACCTCACGACGTATGCGGACTGTGTTCAGAAAGTGCAAGGGAAACAACTAGCTTACGGAAACTCTGGCAATCCTAGGCAACAGACTAGAGTCAGTATTTCTAGAAAACACAGAAAAGCTTAACCAAACGCTGGAGAAGTTTGTTGACACAGCAGAGACGAAGAAGAAGATTGAGAGCATTGAAGAGGACATCAGGGGCCTCAAAGGAGCTCTCTTCGTGGGAGACAGTCAACAGCAGCAGCTCAAATGTCATATATTGTTATCACAGCGTGCTCTCCTAGTCATTAGGAAAAACTTCATTTTTCTAATATATCCAATCTGATGTAATTAGAAGTAAATATAAGTTACAAATGACTATTGATTAAATAGCTATTTAATTTTCAAATAATAATATCCAAATGTTTATGAACCTTGATTTGTCAGATAAGGGCTAACTAGGTTAACTCCAATTGGGCTAACTTTGAATAATGTTGAGTTCAAGTCTAGCTTAATAAACATGCAATGCTAATTTAACTTCAATATAACTACAATTTGATTTGAATATTTTTCATGTATTGTATACTTATTGATATTGACACTAACTGACATCAAATGATGTTAAAAATATCTAATTAATGTTACTATCTATATATCCTAGTGCTACTGACTAGAGCTCTGCTTGATAGTACACTTTGAAGACACTAAGTTCAGTTCCTGACAGTATCAGATATATTTCATTTTATTTTATTATAATTGTTTTTGTGTACTAAATAAATTATAATGATGCTTTAAATTAATTTGAGTACCAGTAAATTATATCGTGATGTCTTGTAACAGAAATCAATACAATATTAAAATCAATCAAGAAATAGTACTGAAGAAGAATTATAGTTATTTATAAACAATTCTCTTTAAATTGACACTAATTATGTTCTTCAAATCAAAGAAATAAAGTTCAGAATTAGAGGGGTCTAGAATATTAAAGCCTATTGGAGAAAATCAAAACAAAAATATTAATTATATTCGATTATATCTAAATTATCTACAATTGGTAAGATTTGGAAGATGGGGTTTTTCCGATGATCGGGATGTTCTTATAGGCCCAAGGGGTGTATTCGATTGTCGGCAGGAGAATAGAATCAGAGAATTCCTCCTTGAAGGTACCTCTCTCCTCCTCTGTCCAAGCAAATGTCTTCTCGTGCAGTCGAACAATGTATTCGGCTAGTCGCAGCTCTTCTGGCTCCAAGAAGCTCTCGGGATTGATGAGAGAGCTTCTTCTTCGCTCCTCGGTGTAGCAGTCATCGGGAGTGAATTCAGGTGGATAAGTCAGCAACCTGGTTAAGGTCGCTGAGGGGTTCTCTGGGCCGCGCCTAACGATTTGATAGTTCTCTGGAAGGGTTGTTGACACAGGTATAACCCGATTTTCAACCTTCTTGTATGCTTTCTTGGCCTTCGCCTTTGGCTTCCCCTTGGCCTGCAGCAAGACATCGACTCGTCGCTTGTGTTAGACTCACAAGAACTCAACTTGGGAAGGGAGAAAACAGAATGTATTGCCACTATAGGTACAAGGTTCTTAAATACAGGAAGCAGTGGCTACTTGCCACTGAGAGACAATATGATTGAGAACAATAAGATCTGATATGAGCCACCATGATAAGAGCCACTTTGTGAGTGGCTGACCCTGATGATGTCAAGTGGCTGACCACAGCAGTGGTTCACTGCATGAGCCACTGATTAACCCTGATGATGTCAAGTGGCTAACCTTAGCAGTGGCTCAGAGACATGCTGTCCATCACACACACACTTTAACACTCCCACCTGATCAGGCATATCTCTCTCTGCAGTGCAAGCATGGTGCAGCATTCATCCACCTTTGGCTTTGGCAGCGGCTTGGTGAGGATGTCTGCAGCCATGTCAGCTGTAGGTACATACTTGATATCCAGGGTACCCTTTTCTACTTCATCTCGGAGCCAGTGGAAGCGCAAGTCTAGGTGCTTCATTCTGCCATGGTGTTCTGGGTTCTTTGCAACTTGAATTGCACTCTGGTTGTCCATGTTCAGAGTGGATGGTGCATGTTGTTTGTAACCCATTGCTCCCAGCAGATTTCGCATCCAGACTATTTCCTGCCCACAGGATACAGCAGAGACGTACTCTGCTTTTGTAGTGGACAGTGCCACTATGGATTGCAGTTTTGAACTCCAGGAGACAGCTCCAGTACCCACTTTGAGCACATATGCACTGGTGGATTTTCCATTGTCGGGATTTCCTCCATGGTCAGCATCAGAGTATGCCACAAAGGTTTCTGGAGACTCTATTGGTGCATACGTCAGGCAGTAGTCCAGATTGCCTTTGAGATATCGGAACAGGCATTTGACC